GGGTAGTAGAGCTCCCTAATATCCATCATTGGTATAAATATTGATCTTTGCCGAGATAAGGGGCACAGAAGACGAAAAAATGCAATTCCGTAATATTTGGCCAAGCTGTATACCAACTCTTCCTAATTGACCTTACAAAGTGATAAAAAAATTCTGCTGAATTCTCCTGAGCTTCCGTCAAATTATGCTAGATTACTAATTAATACTAATCTAAGTAGTAATATGTGTTGAATATGTCGGGGTCTGTCAATTCTAGAATTTTTTATAAAATTGCAGAATTTAGACACTGTTGATTCACCGTTCAAAATAGCTGCGGTCTTACATTCAACGTACACATTCTTCTTTGCAAAATTTATGTACATATAGTCGGTTTGTTTTCGTTTAGAGTCGTTGTATCATTGTATTCTGAGGCAACGACTATCTTGACCCTAAAATAAACATCCGCTACATATAGATATTCAGTAATGTTCAGAACTTAGCAGTGGTTGCCGCAAAGATCACGACACAGTATTTTGTTTCTACCCAACGAGGCAAGAGAACGTTAGATTAACGACAGTTTTAAGGTTCTTGTCAATGTATCTTAAAATATGATATAATAACAAACAAATATCAAAGAGGCTACAAATAAACCAGTACAAGAACTTTAAACGCAATGGCCGATTCCAAGATCGCTTCCAGTTATTGGCGGTAAACCCATCCATCCTCGCATTGCGTTTATCACGGGAATATCACGATGTGTTCGAGTATAACCATTTCCTTCATAAGCACAAGCATTGGCTACGTACGCTGGTTTAAATGAAATGCTCTCTCGGCACGTATCACAACTGGTTGTGCACAGTTTACAATTCGATTTGCCATCTAAAACAATATCGTTATTATTAAGAAAAAAAACGAATGTTTTTCCAGTTAGAAATTACACTCACCCGGGATGCCCATATGGCCTTCTGTATGATAATAAGAAGACAAGATAAATCGAATAGGCCAATCATCGGCGTTATTTTGGACACTGTATGGATTTGAGAAGAGTTTAATCTCAAAATTTCGATGCTCATTCACTCCACAGTTTTTAACCAAAACGCAACCCATTGAACCCATATCTCGACTGGATGACCCTGGGTTCTGCTGATCGTGGTCGTCATTTTGAATGACAACACGTACGGGCGGTGTTTTTGGATTATTACCAACTTCATCTGGATAAAGGCCATCCCAAATCTGAACAGAAACTGTGAGACCATAATGCAATCTAAAACCGAATTTACCCCTACCTTTATCTTATTCACTTCAGATTGCGAACCAAGATCTTGCAGAAGCTGACTCTCCAATACTGTGCCGTACCATGACGGTTGCATCCACAAATATTCAATTTCCCCGCCTACATAGAAGAATTATATTAAAAAGAAGAATGGCGCACTTTTCGTTTCTACCTGTTAGCACTTCTAGCCAAACAAAAAAGTCATCTGGTAATTGTCCGCCCATTTTTGCTTGAACTTTTTTGAAAATAGCAGACATGTCTTTCGTGGCAATGTGTTTTGCTGCATCAATTCTAAAACCGCTCGCACCCAAACTTAGCATATCGACCAAATAAGCGGCTTGTCTCTCGCGAACAGTTTCGCGCGATGTATCCAGATCAGTAAGACCAACGAGCCAACCGTTATTTAAAATGGGTAAATCAGCCCATGAATTAAGCGGTCGATCACAGTGGAAATCTTCTGGACCCAGTGCTGCTCCCGGAAACTCTTGGCTAGGTGCTTTGCCTGTGTTCGCATTATACTGATAAGTATAAGCATGAGTCGAGAATCAGGATTGACGCTCCGGAATAGCTCTACTGGTTTTGTTTCCCCACGTGACACATTCAGTTCCCCCATTCGTAGGATTTCGATGATTGTTCATGTCGTTGCCAGCTCCAGTGAAATGATTCAGAACAGCGTCAATATAAACTCGAACGCCAAAGCCACGACACGTCTGGATTAAATCCCTCAATTGTTCACGAGTACCACCTCTGCCCTCGAGCTTGTAGCTTACTGGTTGATACCTGAATAATACAAAAAAATTACGAAACACCTTTGAAGAAAAGAAATTTATGAAACGTACATAAAATACCAAGGGTTTAGGGCATTTTCAAAAGGTTGAGTTGACATTAAGTGTTCATGAACGGGAAACAACTTTACACCCAGATATCCTGCCTTGTCG